GACCCGCCTTGACATTGTTAAAGGGGCCCTACAGTCATTTTTTAGTCAAGTAAGTATTGTTTACATTTTTGTTATTGTCGCTACTTGACATGCGCATCACGGCATGCATGCGTCTTCCGGTGTGCGGAAGTACTCATATTCATGGATACTGCATGTAAGATACAGCCAAACGAATCTCCGTGGAGTCCCCTACTTAAGGTGGCTTTTCGACTAAAAAATTACTGTAGAGTCCCTACTCCCTTTAATGTTATTATTACCGTCGCTTGCAACTAACTATTAACGGTCGCTTAAAAACCATTGTCTATATTCGCGTGTTTCTGCTGGGGTCTACACCGTAGGCAAATTCGCGTGAGAGTCTTAAGTTTTCTTATTTTGACATAATAGCTATTTTGCAATAAATATATTGATATTAAATTTATTGAATTGATATTTTAAGTTTCACGCCAGTTGTACCAAAGGTTATAAGCGCTATAGCGCATCATAAGCATAGATATCTTATATAAGATATCTATGATCATAAGTTTCAGATGGCATGCAACATGTACGCAGTGCGTACCTATTTTTTACTCATTTTTGTTGCATGCCATATATGGCATGCAACTTTCATATAGCTCTAAATTTCGTGTCGCGGTCGGTGAGCGGTGATGAGCGGTGAGCGTACCAGTCACGTGGCAGATTAGTAAAATACGACAAATACCGAGCTTTTCCGAAGAGCATTTTTATGCCGGGTTTTCGACTTTCGTCGAGGAAACGCAAAGAAATATCGATTATTTGCCGAAAATTTACATAATTGAGCGCTTTAGAAAAATAAATCGAGGTAGGTATAACCTGAAGTTCAGGCCCTAATTTGAAATAGGGCCTGACACAAAACCTGTCTAGACAGTGGGACGCCCACATGTTATTTTTAGACAACATGCAATATGATTGACAAGTGTTGTAGATTTCGTTACACAAAAAAATTATATTCTCATGAACATGTCCGCAGAGTGTGCATTTTGCTTTTTCATTAAACTTAAAAATTCAAGGTACTTTTATATAATTAAGAGTCAGTTTCTCTATTTAACCGAACAGCAAACAAAGATTTATATTAATTAGTCAGTTCTGTGCACGGCTTGACTGCCAAGCTTTCTCAAGGTCTCAACTTGCTGAACGCGGATATACTTTATAAACGACTAACGGGCTAACAACAGCAACGATTAAATTCTCAATCGTACCACGAAGAAGGCGATGTAGCTCAGAAAACAACGCCGGTAGAACCTGATATTAAAAATAAGACTTTTGCCGGCGAAGCCAGTTGGCAGAACATCTTGGCTGTCAACAACAAGCTTTCGAATACATGACTAGTTTGGCTGTTCTTTCAGCGTCGTGTGTGTCCAAAATTCGTCAAAGATTTTGATAAAGCCCTTTCAAAATACTGTTTGTTTGATTTATTTTCTGCCATAAAGCATAAAAGAAATTCGAAGAAATTGATAATGGAATTTGTTGCGTGCGTTTGTTTGTTTATATTAATTGTCGCCTTGAGCCGAGCTATTTTTAAAACTGTTGTTTATGTGAACTTGCAACCAATCAAAATCCTTCATGATGCTGATCAACCAATCAGATTTCCCGTCCACCAGGTGGACGGGAATCCCACAGTTTAGATAGGTTTTGTGTCAGGCCCAATCTCGTTCCCCGAGCCTGCGATCCTCGGGAAGGAACGCGAGGCTCTGGGATAATCCGTTGCCGGAAGCCAGGAATCCTGGCTAAGATTGAACTGCGCATTCCATTTCAACGGCCAATCAGATTCCTCCCTGAAACGGATTATCCCAGAGCCTCACGTTCCTTCCCGAGGATCGCAGGCTCGGAGAACGAGATTGTGTCAGGCCCTATTCTGTGAATATAGGGCCTGAACTTCAGGTTAAGGTAGGTAAAGCTTTACTGTTTTTAGCTTACCTTATATTCTGTTATTTGTTGTGATTTTGGAGCCGTTGTACTCGCACTGATTCGTGATTATTTATCAATTATCAGGCGTTTTATATTTATATATCGTGAAAGCCTCGAAGCCGCGAACGCTATCAAAATACTCGATTTTTATATACTCAAACTGAAACGGAGCCATTGTGCTCGCACTGATTATATTGTGTGCAAAGCTTCAAAACTACAGCACATTTTGTAAATAACATGACATATAAATATCAAACAAAATTTGAATTATAAATAGTATTTATACATACTATTGAAATTTAATACAACGAAATAGCAACCATTGTGAAGTACGCGTAAGATTCAACATGACATTCAACATGACATTCGATATAGTGTAAATTAACTCATTTCAATCACTCACACGACAAAATGATAATAAACATTTTCAATCTATTATAGTAATTCACCGTTTTCACGTTTTTTTATACCTTTAAAAAGTTACAATAAAGCTAAATCTAAAGGAAATAACATTATTTAGTTATAGATTTGATAAAACCTTGACCGACCTTGACCTTGTTAATGTTATTATTACCGTTGTTTAGAACTAACTATTAACGGTCCCTTATAAAAACATTGCCTATACGCGTGTTTCTGCTGGCGTCTACACCGTAAGCTAATTCGCGTGAGAATCTTAAGTTTCCTTATTTTGACATAATAGCTATTTTTTAATAAATATATCGATATTTTAAACTTATTGAATCAATGTTTTAAGTTTCACGCCAGTTGTACCAAAGATTTATATAAGCGCTATAGCGCATCATAAGTTTTCAGATGGCATGCAACATGTACGCACTGCGTACCTATTTTTAAAGCGTGCGCCACAATTCAAACGTTTCTATCTCACGTAATATTCAAAATCAAAGTTAGCCTTTCCTCAATACAATAAAACTTATTTGAGTGTAATAGCTTTTATAGTTTTTACCTTACATGAAATCAAACACCACAAGTTTTTTGGGGGACACCCGGTATATGCACGTTACATGCACGTTACTGGGTACACTCGATTATAATCTTGTCTAATTCGCATGTGAGAAGAATGCTGTACAATTGCGATGAATGGAAAAGAGGCTTAAGCTGTCGTTGGGTTTTAATCTTTTCCAGGATGTTTAGATGACTCGTCTAACAGCAGTTTAAAGTAGAATTCTTCAACACTTCGAAGACATACATACTTTAGCGTGCAGTGATAATCGATATGGGCAGTGATAAAGTGAATGTGTGCACTAATAAAGAATACAAATGTGCATTGATAACATTTGTGATAAATTTTCGATTATTAAAAATTGATAAATGATTAATGTATTTAAAACTACTCGACTGTTTTCGAAATGCACCGTTTTGTATAATCAGTGGTAAACGTTTCTACTTTTTTGGGAAAACACCTCTGATTTGGTTAAAAAAGTCTTGTAATGGATTGCTTTTAGAGGCCAAGTATGCGTGGTTGTATTTTTAGTATCGCGTGTAAATTTTTCTTGGGGGTACCAGTAATCCCCTTCGGACTGGCAGACGCAACATCGTCTTATTAAGGAATGTGCATGCAGTGATAAAAAATTCACAAAATTAGGTATGTTCGCAGGAAGGCCCTGCCAAAGGTTACTACAAGCTAAAGTTTGGCGATACTAACGTTCTGACGAAGGGAATTGTTTGAAAATGTGAGATATTTAAAAAGTCCTTACTTGTCCATGTAGTGACCAGCTTTCTGCAACGCATGACCCATTTCATCTTCAATACTGCTCCACTCACTAGAACAATTGATTCGCAGCGATAAAAATGTAGCAACATATATATAACACAGGGGGCATCCATTTGGTACGTACGCTAAATTTCGGGAATATTTTACACCCCCTCCCCTCTTCCATACTATTGTACGCTTATTTTGCACACCTCTCCTATGCGTACGTGTGCGTACAAGAAGACAATAGAGAGGTTAAGATTGACGTTTACGGCAGACCGGTAACCGCAAACGGGAAACTTTAATTCGCATTTGAAGGTAAGTTCTACAAGTTTCCGAAGATTTCGACAGTTTTTTAGTCAATTCATTCTTCAATTTTAATGTACAAATTGTCGTAACTTCGAACAGCTTACAGTTGATCTCAAAATACGACTTGAATTTAGCGGTTACCGGTCTGCCGCAAACGTCAATCTTAACCTCTCGAGTTTTTCAACCAGGGCTTGGCTGAAATTTAATAGAAGAGTCATATATGGAATAGTCTCCAAAATGACCCCCACCCCAACTCTATCCTGACCCCTACCCTACACCCACCCTACCACTATATGAGTGCCCCCCCCCGCGTCATATGATTTTAAACTTGATTACTTATTCCAACATAATCGTATTTGCACTATCTAGTAAGTAGTATACATGGTTACCTCTGTGAGGAACGTTCAATTGATGCTTTACTTAAGTTTGCTTTACTCATTCAAATAAAGTCATTTTTTGTCTCAAAAACGTACAGGTGTTTACTACCGTGGTATCAGGATAACGATATACGGTACTGGTTGGTTTTATTAATGATATTGCAGATAAGAATGCAAGCTTGTGTCAAATGAATCCGTGGAGAGAACAGATACACTGCAGTTGTCAGACACGTGCTTTAAAGTGAATAGGTGTATATTTTACAAATTAGAATAATTTTGCAAAAGACACTTCTCATACCTGAATATTTTCCCATAATTTGCATGTTCTTTATGAATGCTAAACTGTTTTTCCGAAATTTTCTACAAAGCAACAGACAACATTTAAAACTTGGCGGTTGACCGTCGGTCGTGGTAGTGATATAAAGGGTGTATAAAAAGGTAATATAGAGGTATAAAAATCCCATGTTAGGTATATAGATTTAATTCTTCCATACCAATAAAGATTTGATTTTTATACAGTAGCTGTCAACAGGGTTTAAAATGTTCCTAATATATTTTGCCTGTCCATGGTGACATGTACAGGTCGTGTATTTCCCCCCGTCTCCACCCTTATTCAAACTATACAATCTTTATGACATGCGATAGTGTAGATGCTTTCTCAGTCGCAGGTGACAGATAAGTAGTTTTTTTACGCCCATCGTTTGTGAAAATCATCTGGAATCGACAGGCAGACAGGCGGATATTTCGAATCTTATGTCAACATGAGGGTTTGTGTCAACATGTAAGGTTTGTACGTTATCCATCACGGTCGCCTGGCCCGCGCAAAACGTGCGTTGTATGCCAGTGACAAGTCAGGGACCCCTGGTTATTTATCCTGGTTATTTAAGGACGCCCTGGACCAATATAATTTGCCAGGAAATTTATCCAGGAATATTAACCGATTCGGAAAGTAGCTACGTTGTCTGTTGTCTAGACACACAGTATGACGTCAAAATGTGTGAAGAAGAAAAAGTGACTCGCGAGCTGAATGAGGCGAGTGGATAACCTTTAGGCTTTTGCAGTCGTTTTCGGACTATAACAATAGCTTTTTTGCTTTTTGATAAATCTTGGATTCTATAATTTTGTTCATATTGTTTTGGCAAGAAACCTGAGATAAAGAAACCCAGGGCTGCAAATAAATATTTGACTTGACAGGACATGTGTCCGATCACTTTTAATTTTGGTCGGACATATACGTATACGTCACAAGATATATATAAGTCACGAGACAAGAATGTATAGCCATTCCGGCGCAACGTCAACTAAAATGCTAGAATGCCTCGTAAATTTTATTGCAAAATGCAAATTGAGTGAATTTGCAATCGGATTTTGTCACAGCAAAAAAATGTATAATGTGACAATTTTTTTTTGTGATCGGACCAATGTCCGATCAAAATTACTTTTGCTCGGACATTTGCCAAATTTAGTCCGACATTGTCCGATGTCCGACAATAATTTGCAGCCCTGGAAACCTGAAACCAAGACTGTGCACAGGTCAAGGTCCATACAGAATGGACGCGATTTGGCAACGCGACGCGAAGTTTCAATTTTCAATGACATCTAACTTCAATATTTTTCTATGTTTTTCAAATATTCGGAACCACTTAAGCAATTTTAGCTATTTGGTCTGCATATCTTGTAAAATTTTTATTCGTTGACGGTTTTATTTGTTTTTAAAAACTGAAAATTCGCGTGGCGTTGTCGAATCGCGTCCGGTATGTATGGACCTTCACAGTTGTGTAATTATAATGCACGCTCATTACCCAACCAAATTACCTGTTTTATTCCACTTGTATAATTATAATATCTTATAATTCTAGTATAGGCAATAGGAGGAATAGGATGGTTTTGAGTGCAATTTGGATAAAACATGCACGAGTGAGTTTTCAAAGAGCACGCCGTGTTTGTTTTGTTTTGAAGCAATCTGTGTCCGTCACTTGGGGACTGCTTTAAGCCGATTGGTTGACTTTAGATCCCATTGTTTATCGACCATCCAGATCAGCTTGTTTAAGATTTTTGCACTGTTGTTACGGACTTTTGCAGTGTTATTTGGGATTAGCTGCACTGAAATCATCCAATCACAGTCGAGTAATATTTTTATGTATATTATTAATTACGTTACAGAAATTTATACCTGTTGAACTTTGAGAAGAGAAGCAATGTTTCCCTGTAGCGTTTGCGAATAATTCTTAATGTCTTCATACTTCCTAAGAAAACAGGATTTAGTGATAGTTTAGAAATGCATGCTAACGTGAGCACATGAGATATGAAAAGTCCGCTGATCTGAAAACTATAGGACCAGATAGAGCATGCTTTGAATTGAATGGATCAATTTTGAAGCTGGAATATTTACAATTTGGAGACATTTTAAAATCTGTCAAATTCTTTACAATTCGAATCGTCAAGTCTCTATAAGACCCCGTTTACACTAGAGATTCATCACGAAACCAGAACGTTTTAGTACCGGATTCATGTTGCCGTTTACACACGCAGCGACGAATCCGATGGTAAATCGTCTCGGTTGCGTATCTTTGAAACCGGAAACGTTTGTGGGGTCTTCGTGTCCGGAAACATTTCAATCCGGGGAAACTGTCGTGTAAACGCTTTCCGTAAAGAATCTCAATCAATTTGTTCTGGTGTATATTTATTGCTATTAAAGCAAACAGGATCGCATAATATCAATAAGAGGGTTTAAATCATTTACTTTATAGTTTATATTTCGCAAAGTACCTGCCTCCCCGGTATGTATCTGCGAAAAAGTCACTCTACTCACAATAAAAATCACTGAAAACTCAGAATATAAAAAATATATTGATAAAACTCTCGCTGTTGTTTTCCCGCTACATACATAATTAGTATTCCATGTGCTCGCGTGTAGCACACGCGAGACACGTAATTCCGTTCAGTTCCGACACACTCCCCTGTATACACTCTGTAAGAGGTGTATACACTAACACAACACAAAATGTTAAATTTAGAATAATTGTCAATATCACTGTACGTTAACTTTTTCTTTCTCCTACTCATCATCCGCTGCTTCGATCTATTCAATACGGAGTTTTGCTGCAGTCGCCGCGTCTCGCCGAGGGCGTGGCAAGAATTCTACCGCATCTGGGTTCAGGATTGGCACTTCCGGTACGACATCACAGCTCAGTTCTAACGGAAAAAGCAGCTGCACGGCTCTTTCCAAGGTTCCGTTTGGAGTCTTCAGACGTACTCCCCGTATCACGTTATCCTTTCCAGGATAGGTATCTTCTATGATTCCTAGAGGCCACGTACCTCGATTCTTGCTCTCGGTCTGTATCAACACAGAGTCTCTCTCGTTGATAACAACATGGCGGCGGATGGTTTAATTATGGCCTCAACTAAACTTGAAAATTTTAGTCCTGAAACTATTGATATGAACTCCATAAAGTTGTTAAACAATCAAGGTCATCTAGTTTATGATGGGATCCGTCTCAAATGGACAAACGACCTCTGTTCGTTAAGGACTTTTGCCGAAAATGTTGTCGGATTAACGGGTAAATGGACGTCGCCTGGCGGTAAAGCCAAACAGTTTATAAACTTAAGCTCTGATTTTATTATGACTTGGTACTCGGGCAAACAAAACTCTTTGACTTTCAATGGAAAGAAAGGCAAATCTTTCAAGGAATTTCTAGTGAGCGTATTAGACACAAATTGCGTTATTAAGCAAACAAATACGACCTCGGATAGTTTAATCCAAACAACTACAAAAATGTCGGTCGAAGGCGAACATATCGTTGGTAATGGCCGTGTGTTCGAGGACATGGCCCCTTTAACTCACAATTGTTCGTACAATACTCAAGCCAAAGATATGGGGTTTGAATCGATTGCTGACACTTCGTCACTCGAAGAACTTGAGGACTTCATTGATAGCGCATATTTTATTGCGAATGTCGCAGCCACGCCGAATTTTGCTCAGACAGCCAGCTTTTCTACACCATTTCAACAACGAGCTGATGATATCCCGACTATAGCCGAGGCACAACTCCTTACATTTAAAGAAAAAATAGAATCGCAAATAGAAAAATTGTTGACTAAAGTGTCTGAACAAAATCATATTATTGACACAAATAAACAAGAGCTGTGCCGATTAGGAAACGAGAATTCGAATTTAAAGTCACGCATTACCGACCTAGAGGAGAAAATGATGATTAAAGACTCGGCTTCCATAACCTTTTCAAGTCCCTCAAAGCCATCTTTACAAGATAAGAAGTCCTTTAACAGTCCTGACAATGTAAATCCCCAACACGATGGATCAACTAAAATAAATCACCCATCTGGTGCATTATCAACCCCAGTTAATATGTAGATACCTGCCCGCTGAGGAAAGTTTCCCTACAGTTATCATTGAAATAAAGAACAATGCCCTATTATCCACACAACAATCTAAGACTACAATCAACTCCTTCAAAAAAGATTACTCATTAAGCCTGAACCGCGAGCCTTTTCAGGCTAAGAATGTTTTAAACTATTTGCCCTTATGCGAAGATCTAAGTATAATCGAAGATGTTTCTGCAAACCTCACTTTTGACGAAAATGAATTAGATCAGCGTGAGCAGGATTTATTCGATGGGTGTCAACATTTCAAGCAACGTGGGAAGCAAGGCATATGTAGGAATTGCGACCGATCCTATGCAAAAACCGTGTTAAGCCTTGATGCCCTTAACCCTGACCAGGTGAATCCACGATCGGATAGGTCAATCAGCGAGTCAAATCTAAAGCATTCTTCGTTCCCTCATCTTCCAACCCCGAGACCCTCAAGTCTTAGACACGGTCAAGTTACAAACCCCTTAGGGTTTCGAAAGCACCATTGTAGTCGGTATCCTTTTTTAAAACGTTGCCGTGTCATTCCTTCGTATCGGACAGCCCACCGCCACCACTCTCTAGAGTGGTTGGCCCATCTCCACACAGTGGCCTGTTTGACGAGTCAGCAGCAGACAATATGATGAAAATACCTGTTAGAATCACTTCACGTCAGAGACCATCACGTCAGAGACTATCATATCAACAAACCATTAATAATTCTTGCCCATTTATCACCCCGGAAATAAAAGCATCCATGATCAAAAGAGACCAGCTCCATAGTCTTTTCAGGAAAACACGCGATCATTATGATTGGCTTAATTTCAGAGAGGCCCGCAATTTTACAAAAACCGCACTTGTTAATGCACAGAAAGAATATGTACTGAAGGAAGTTCAGCAACACAGAAACAATACTGGGTCACTTGGGAAGGTAATTAAAGAAAATATAGCGTATAGGGAAAGAGAGTCAGTGGTCTACAGTAAGGAACCGAAATTAGTGGCCGAAGAGTTTAATCATTTCTTTTCCACCATCGGTGCGAATGCAGCAAAGAAAGCCTCAACACTAATACAAGATCCCAGTGTTTATCCAGCTCGGAATCTTTCTGACGTAAATCGCACAGATAACAGCTACCCTGAAGAAAATGATAGATTTAGTTTCACCCCAGTCCCTTGTTCAGAAATAAGGAACATCATATTAGCTATGCCGTCAAACAAATCACCCGGCAAAGACAAAGTGAGTATGCGTGTCATCAAACACAGCCTACCGGTAATTCTTGGGCCCCTCACCGATATCATTAACTGCTCACTGTCGTCATCTTCGTTCCCTATAGCATGGAAAGAGGCAGAAGTTATCCCTTTGTTAAAGGATGGAAACCACGAGGAAGCATCAAATAACCGCCCACTTTCTCTCCTTACCTTTCTTTCGAAAATTTGTGAAAAAGTCGCCTTGAATCAATTTGGTTCGTATCTAATGAAGAACAAAAAATTGTCAACCCACCAGAGCGGGAACAAGAAACATCCCTCATGCGAAACATTGAATCTTTTGACCGGAGATACTATCCTAAAGGCCATGGATGGGAAATTGGTTACTGCACTGATTCTAATAGATCTATCTAAAGCTTTCGACAGTGTAAATCATACTTTTCTCCTTACAAAACTTAGCAACGTCGGGGCTTCCCCAAGCGTTGTAAAATGGTTTGAGAGTTACTTGACCGGAAGAACTCAATCAGTCAGAATTGGATCAACTGTGTCTACTCCTCTCCCTGTTTCTTATGGTGTACCACAGGGTGCAATTTTATCACCTTTACTTTTTAGTATTTATACTAACGACTTGCCCTCATCAGTCCACCATAGTAAACTTGAATCGTACGTGGACGACTCCAAGATATTACTATCTTTCACTGTGGCTAACGTGGACTGTTTAAAGCAACAACTTGAGGAAGACTTGTATTTGATTGCAAACAGTTGTTCCGAAAATGAATTGCGTATTAACCCGGGAAAGACCAAATACATGCTGATTGGCACACGGCAAAACCTACAACAACTTCCCGTAGATATGACCATAAACTTCCTCAACGAGACTATTACCCCCGTCTCCTTTGCCAAAGATCTAGGAATGACAATCGACTCTTATTTGACATATGACCAGCACATCACCAACCTGGTTTCCTCATGTATGAATTCCCTGTGCCAAATAAACCGAGTCAAAAAATGTTTCGATAAAGAAGCTTTAACTCTCATCGTCTCGGCACTTGTAATGAACAAAATGTTCTATTGTTCAACGGTTTGGTCAAACACTTCGTCTACCAACATTAAGAAACTACAGTTGGTACAAAATTTTGCATGCAGGATAATAACAAATATTGGAAAGTTCGACCATATTTCGCCGGGCTTACGCGAACTTAACTGGCTCCCAGTAAAGGAACAATTACTACTAAGAGAGGCTATTATGATGTACAAATGTGTCAATGATCTTGCTCCACATTATTTGAGCGATTTATTCACAAAACGTTCTGACATTCATCAACGAGATACACGTAGCCATGACTCACTGCAAATACCATTGTACAAAACTTCTGCAGGTCAAAGGTCCTTTCATTATAGAGGCGTTACACTCTGGAATGATTTGGACATAAAGTACAAAAAGTTAGACTCCCTAAAAACTTTCAAAAACGAACTGAAGCGAAGCATGCTAGAACAAATATATAAGTAGATAATTTTACCTTGTTAAACTTTATACAAATGTCTTACCTTTTTACCTTAATTTAAATTCTAGATTCTAAAACTTGTAAATAGAACTACATTTATTTTTTGTAAATCAGTGTTGAAAATCCCTATTTAGGGAACACAATAAAGTATGTATGTATGTATGTATGTATGTCTCCAGGCTTAGGTTGGAACTTGCTTCTCTTGTGGGTCATGTTGTGTCTTTCCCGTAAGGCTACCAGGTATTCTTTTCTCCAACGCCGCCACAGCTTGTTCTTACATTCGATTAGATATTTTGCTCGTTTTCTCAGTTCTCGTTCTTCGATTCGCCATGGTTCTTCCATAGGGAGTTGGCACGTGCGTTGATGGAGGAACGTAGCTGGGGTGAGGGTTGGTAACTGGATGTCGTCCTCAACGTACGACAGTGGTCGGCGGTTGATTTGAATTTCAACGTCGAGCAGAACCTCACTTAGTTCGTCCCAAGTGAGATGACCTCCCCCGATCACCTTGTACATAGCTGACTTGACTACCCCGATGAGGCGCTTGAATTGGCCGCCCCACCAGGGTGCACGACTCAGGTTAAATTTCCATTTAATATCGTACTCTTCCGCGAAGCCTCGTAGACTCTCGTCTTTCCGTAACTGTTCCAGCCATTTGCTGGCTTTGACGAACGCGCCGCCATTATCGGAATAAACTACGCGTGGTCGTCCTCGCCGAGCGATAAATCGTTTCAAAGACACGATGAAGGTACTGGTTTCAAGGTTCCGCAACAGTTCTAAGTGAACAGCTCTCGACAAGCTGCAAGCAAATATCACGAGGTAGGTCTTCCCTTCTGCTTTGGAGGATTTCCGGAACTTCATTGGCCCAGCAAAATCGACTCCGATCACCTCAAACGCCGCACCAGGTGTGGTTCTGTCCTCTGGTAGTTGTCCAGCCACTGGAGTTGTAAAGGCAGTAAGGCGAAATCTCTTGCATCCCCAACATCGACTGCGTATCATTTTCACGAGGCTTCGAAGGCGAGGGATCCAGAATGTTTCTCGCACCGCCGCCATCGTAAGTCCGACACCGCCATGTAGCGTTTCGCAGTGGACACGTTGCACCAGCTTTTCCGTAAATACAGCGTTCCGTGGTAAATAGATAGGGTGGATTCCTTGCATTCTTCCGATACATACTATAATTCCTCGATCGTTCGTCTCAAGACCAAGTTGCGCGCTGGTTTCCTTATAATGTTGTTCGACCGTGTCTCGGAGTTGAACGCGTCTGATCCACCAATACTTTGCCGTCTCAATCTCTTCCGTATCCAAAGGTCCTGATCTCTTTTCTTTAGCACGGCAGTTGTGAATAAATCGGTTTATCCACGCAGACACTCTCAGTGCCCGACGCAGCGTGTTTCTTTCGAGAAGTTTGTCTAACTCGTCTGTTGTTGTTTCGGTGGATTTGGCTATGTAAACGAGGTCTCGACTAATCTTGTTTTCAGCTGCCGATTCGGGTGATGATTTTGTGATCGGATTATCTGGCCATTTTTCTGGGTCACTGAGCCATTCTGGGCCCTACTGCCACAGTGATGAAGATATGGGACCGCCTCTGCTAGCAATGTCCGCGGGGTTGTCCTTTGTTGGAACATGTTGCCACTGAATTGATGGGTGAGCCTGGATCTTCGCAACACGATTGGCGACGAATTGCTTGTAGGCCCCATTACCAACTATCCAGTGCAGAGCCACTGTGCTGTCAAGCCATGCAAACATCAACGGTTGCGGTTCTTTTGGTAGGGCGTCACGAACATTCACTAGAAGATTTGTCGCCATGTGAGCCCCGACCAGTTCCAGACGTGGAACCGACAAATTTCTCTTTGCTAGCAGACTCTTTGCTGTCACCAACTGCTGTGTAGTTCCCGACTGCTGTATCAATACGTCCCAAAGCTTATTCTGGAGGGGTGGGCCAGGGTATAGACATTCATTTAGGGAAGGTGATGATGGGTCTTCTTTCGCTGAAGCGTCGTAGACGACTCGCAATTTAGTTGTCTCTGATGACTCCTTGACCACGCCCTTATGAGGGATGTAGAACTCTTTATCAGTGACCGTTGTAGGTGCCTCTTCCACAATGCCTTCTTGGAGTTGTGCTCGAATAACCGCGTCGTATTCTTCGATGTGCCCATCTCGCTTCAACTTCTTTGTTAGACTACTCAGACGACGGAGACTTCCGTGTTTGTTGGCCGGCAGATGGGGATGATTGCTCCGCCAGGGCAGTCCTGTCTCGTACCATCCTTCACTAGCTGATCGTTGTAATTGTTCCTTGAACTCTGCATGCACTATGTCCTGATCGTGTTCTGTGGAATCTTTGAGCCCCAACACATCAAGACGACACAGTTCCTCATAATCTACATGGCTGGTCTGGGTAAGAAACATGGTTTGTCGGTCGATTTCATTTCCGGGCGACATGATAAACCATCCCAGTTTGGTGTATTCAGCAACAGGTTCTCCAGCTTCACCTACCACTGGTGGTCGGTTGGTCTTAATTCTCGCATAGTCACCCACGCTTAAAATAACATGAATCGGTAATTGGTCTTTCTTGTCGTTGTCGGTCAAGTTGACTTGTGCTAGGTGGGGATACTTGGCTTTAACGTGTTCGTACTGTGGATTTTCTATCGACAACAGTTCGTTCTTGTCAACTTTTGTGAGCTTTGCATCCATTTTGAAGGAGTTGTCAAGGGATTGAACAATAACATCATACGTTTCCATTCTCGTAAGGTGAGAGCCCATTAACATCTCGATACGTTTGGTTGAAGCTTCCGAGGGTTTCTTGTTCAGCAAATCTCCGACTTTAGCTGAGATATAAGAGCTGCCGGCTCCTGTATCGATCAGTGCTCTCGTTATGATTCCGTCCACTTTAAGCAAAACCACTGGGAAAACTCCTTCCCCCACTCCACTTGGTGTTAATACCACTTTCTTGATCTCTTCCGGCTGAGTTTTGTCACATATTGATGTATGATGTCTCCTATGACAAGTTTGGCATGATGTTTTGCTTTGGCATTGTGCGGCCCGATGAGTCCCAACTGCACAGTTGAAACACAATCGCTTCTTCGCCAAAATCTGTTTCCGGTCAGCTACGGCAGTAACTTTAGTGCATTCAACAGCTTTGTGCTCACTACTGTCGCAGTAGATGCACCCTCGAGATTTGTCAGTTCGATTGGTGAGGTACATTCTCTCTCGTTCTCGACGCTTCTTCGTTTGATCATCTCGACTATGATCAACTGGGTTTCTCCGTATCCAAAGTCGCACTGCTTCTGCTAGCTGATCAAGATTCCATGTCTCCCAATCACTGTCAGATCTTACAAGATCACCCCGTATACCTGGCAACTTTTCAATGGTAACCATAGTAAGACCCTTCACTTCGTCCAGCTTCTTGAGCGACTGCAGGGACTGGACACAATATGTCAGTTTGTCACTAAACTCGGCAATTTTCTTCGAATTCGCTGTCGAAATGTATGGTAAGCTCAAAATTTCTTTCACATAAGACTTCACTAACTCTGATTCTTTGCCATATTTTTCCTCCAATATAGCCTTTGCTCGATTGTAGCCTTCCGATGTAAATGGTAAGGACTCAACTTCACGTCTGACATTGTCTCCAAGAAGTTCTCTCAGATATGAAAATTTGGCAATGTTTGCTAAACCAGATTTTTCAATCGATTCGGTGAATTGACCCCAAAACCGTTGCCAATCCATGTAATTTCCGTCAAATTTTGATATTACGAGTTTTGGTAGTTTCGCTTCCACTTGCTTGGCATGAATTTCCTTCGACGAACTTCCACTTTCCAACTTCGTTTGATGTTCGGACTCGAGTTTTAGTTTAGTTTCATGTAGTTTTACCTCGTATTTCAATTTCTCTTCGAAAGCATTTCTCTCCTTTTCCAGTTTGCAATCGTCCTGCCATTTCTCTAAGCGCTTCACATCGTCGTCTGCTTTCTCTAGCTCAGTCTCTACTTGAGAATTCCACGTAGCGACTTCGTCCTCGTTCACTTTTTGTTCGATTTTCAACGCTTCTACGCCTCGTCTCGATGTTTCTACCTCGTTTGTTAACGCTTTTAAAGCTTCCAGTTGTCGTTTAATCGCAGTATCTTTATTAGAATCGAGCACCGAATCAGTTCGCTTGCACGTCATCAGAAGTTGTTTTAATTTAACGTCGAACGTCGACATCGCGTTGGCGTCTGCCATTCGTAAACAATCGCGTTTAAAATCACCAAAAAATCGTCGAATATAACAACAATATCACTAAATCCCGTCTCGAAGGTGCCACGTTTCGCAAAGTACCTGCCTCCCCGGTATGTATCTGCGAAAAAGTCACTCTACTCACAATAAAAATCACTGAAAACTCAGAATATAAAAAATATATTGATAAAACTCTCGCTGTTGTTTTCCCGCTACATACATAATTAGTATTCCGTGTGCTCGCGTGTAGCACACGCGAGACACGTAATTCCGTTCAGTTCCGACATATATTGACCACCGCTGTGTAAGCGGGCTGTGTAGTGTAAACGCCTCACGGAGTCACGGATCCGTATACTTGAAAAAGAAGGAATCGGTATACTTTTACAAATCTGGAAACTTTTGCTCTAGTGTAAACGTAGTCTAAATAAGCCAATCCAGAGTCTCGACTATGCATCAGGGCTTAAAAAACAGGCGTACGGATGTACGATTGTACGCCGAAATTAGTTTGGCGTACGCCAAGAATTTCAGACATATATACGATCGCGTACACTTTGCAGAATACCCGTCCACTTTTGAAGACCTCACCTGTTATCATGATACGATGATACGAAGTGAAAATGATTACGTAATAACTATATATTTGCGCCACTATAAAAGTCTGGGTAAGCTATATTTTTGGCTGATACGATGATACGAAGTGAAAATGATTAAGTAATAACTATATAACTGCGATATTATAAAAGTGCTATATTTTTGGCTGATACGATGATACGAAGTCAACATCGATTCGTACGTCATCTTAGTACAGAACGTACGACCTCGTACAGCATTTCCGATTTAATTTTTAAGCCCTGTGCATCCAGATGGTACGTTTTGCGTCGGGATATATTACAGTTGAATCATAACATGTAACTCAGACTGGAAGTATTAAATATACACATGTCAAAGTGTTGAATTGTTAAGAGGAGAATCTTTTGTCCCCGAGCCGATGGCGCGAAGCGCCGTGCGAGGGTACTAATTCCCCCCGGCTATTTACACCCGGGGAAACGAAAGCATTAACGAAGTCTAAAGTTCATCAAATATCGCGAGCGTGGGTCACTGTGCGTGGGTGGTCATCCTCACTGATCTCAAAAATATGGCGGACAGTCATGAATAGCGAACACTGATTGCTCCAATTTAAAGTTTGCATTATAACGACTGCATGACGACAGCGAAATAGCAAACATTTCTTGATTTGATGATTGATAAATTTCTTGCAAATATATCTCATTTTTGCCCGCATTTTTGCAAGATTTTGTAAATTTCAAGAAAGAAAGGGAGAAAGAATCGGCTAAAAGAAGGGAGCCGACGTTAACAAAGGTAAGTTTGTTTTAAATATTGATTTTATAATTGTTTTAAAACCCGACGGCCTTTGCGTTTTTGAAACAACTATAAAACAAGATAGCATAATAATTTCAGTGTATCTTTTAATATTGATTCCCTTTTTTCAGTATGTTGAATTAATTAAAAAAGAAAGCAAAGTTATTTGCATGCGAGAATTTGAAATCATTTTATTGCAAACTCAAAGTTTATCTATAAAGCCATGTAATTAAAGGCAGTTTAGTTTTATAAAGAACACTTTAAAACGTTTTGCAAAGCGTTTGTGGTTGAATTTTATCTTATATTGAAGCTTATATTACGCATAATAACATACCTAACGTATATATGTTTGGGAAATTGATAATTTTGTAATTAAAAGTGATATTTTTAGGCGATTTTTCATTTGTAAGAATATTCTTAAAAAATTATCGTGTTACCATGACAACTACTTTCGATACTTCATGTTCGAAAAATACAATGGTTTTGTCAGCAAGGCGAGGGTTTCTGCATGCATGTATTTTCTAGTATCTCACGTAATACGCGCTCAAAACTAATGAATATGCTTTTGCATGTTACTATATTCAATTTTTTACATTTCAGTTTGATACTTTTCTCAAGCGGCAAACAAACTTAAAAAGTATGTTAAAACCCACCCCCAACTTCTTCAGAATTTTAAAACATATTCGGAAAATCGGGTTGGCCATTCGGAAAATTACGGCAATAATAGTATAACGAAAGTTTAGTTGTTAAACAGAGAAAACATTATAGAATTTTTTTGTCAGTATAAACTGATTTAGGAAATCATGGCATTTACATGGATAACAATTTACAAATCGTAAATCGGTAATGCATTACAGACAGCGTGGACCTAGACCTACTGGTGGAGAAATGAAGATTCATTGAAATTTATGAAGACCAACCGACGAATAAATTTGTGATATTTATCATGCCTGCTATGCCGTTTTCATTACGTTTTATGGAAACTTTTGCGAACATAAACAATTGCTGCCGCACAATATAGCCATTGTGGCATTGTTGTGACACTTATTACATTATATACTTCATTATTATAATGTAATCATGATACCTTGATATTCTAATTGCGCGTCTATAATAAAAAACGGCTTTAACATTTATAATTTATTGCGTCTTCAATTTCCGGATAGCAAACACCTTCGTGACTTCGTATGCCATGAAAGATTCGGAAATTTTTTTTCGTGTTTCCGAAATTTTTGCCCTCCCCCCTCCCTTCCCCCCCCACACACATACAATACATGCTAGCTACGGCCCTCAGTACTGCACCATAAGGGACCGGTCATTATTAAATTTCTGCTCTTTTAGGGGGGCTTTCAATTTTAAAAATTTAGAAAAGAAAAAATTCCCCTCCCCGCCCTCCATAAATAATGACCGGTCCCTAATCGCATGCAGGGCCGTAAGTTCGATTCCTGGCAGAGGGCCTACAGTTGCATTTTTCGCAACTGGTCCTGCTTGGATCTAATAAATGTATAAAAATTCCACTTGAAATTTCCATGTACAAATTCCGTCAACAACTGAACATTGCACGTCCTCCATGTCAGACGAGATATATTGTCACGGACGAAAATATTTCGCGCACTTAATTTCTCTGTTGAGAATTCAAAAATACAGTTAAAGCCTGCGGGCTTCCACATACTTATCTGGTTTCTTGACACTGAATGATGCACTTAAACTCTTCAATTTTGAATCCGCCTAAATTAAACAAATATAGTAATTTTAATTATTTAAAAAGCCCCCGCTCATATGAACAGGCTCCAAGACAGGTTCAACTCATGGCAACGGCTTTCGAGACACACAATCAAAGCAGCCTACCTTGCTTTGAAATCCAGTAGCAATAATAGATTCTTTCCAAACTTCTTCCTACAATTCACAAATGCAACAATTATTTCTTATTTACTGAGATATCGGGAAACAGCGTGTTTGGTGGCCCCTCGACCGCCGTTGTTGCCCTCGGGGATCACTTGGTATTCCGAAACTTGGTAGAAGCCTGTCTTTATCGCTTAATAATAATAGATTAATATCTTGTGTTTGTGTATTCATATACTATGTCTAGTACATGTTGTGAAGTAAAGACTATTCCTCAAGCTTTGTATATTCATGCAGAAAATATCTGAACTCCCAACGGGTTCGATTCCTGAATATACAAAGCTTGAGGAACAATCTTTACCTAATGTAACTCTTGAAAGAACTTTGCGCGATCAGCTTGCGCCTCACTTCCGGTTTTATTATTGACCGGTCAATACTGAGTTGTTTCGTGGTTGACCGTTAATACCCCCTCACCAAAGCAAGCAGTGAACATGACGTTTTGTGTACCAGAACATGATATATTATATACGGTCTTTTGATACTTGCTATATAGTAATTAATAATTAATCATTGATATACTGTATACAGTTAAAGTTTGACAAATAATGAATTGATCGATTCCAAACCTGGCTATTACAACTTTGCATTATTTTAGTTTTCAACAGAGACTGTTAACTTATTTAAGGCACAGTGTAAAAGTTTAAGATTAAAAGCAATCCACACAAGCAAAATTATAGCCCTTTGGAATGTGCAAAAAGCACCACTAAGTCAGGCTTGATTGCTAAATCTAGGATAAACTTCGACATTTTTATGATTTAATTTCCCAATGGTATTACAATTATACAGTACTTTGTAAAACTGTTAGTTTGGAAGTACTCCATAAGGCGGCAGTGATTACCTTGGTTGAAATTAATTCCGCTGTTTCGCAAGAAAAAAGATTGACAACTATTTTTCGAATTGGTCTATGGAGGCAACCTGTATGATTAATGCTCTGTGACTGAGGGTGCGTTTCTTTAGTGCAATCTGGATATTCAAATTCGATTATCGATTGGATCTTCAAATCCAATTATCGATTTTCAGTTTCATTTAACAAAATCTTAAAATAGATTCTAAATTGGAATCTGATGAATCCACCTCAACATATGGATTTTTCGGATTCAATCTGAAACTTGATTAGGACGCAACGTTGCTTTTGAGCTTTCGCCCTTCTAGCATGCATGCACCTTGACCCGACCGAAAGGTATAGTGGGACAGAAAACTTATTATAAAATAACATGTATATAACGCGTGCTGATTGGTCGAAACCTGTGTTTGGATCAGGCCATCCAAACACGGAAATTTAAAGTGAAAGTTTTTAATGTGAAATTTTAACACGGACACATGCAGTTGTTATTTTATAAAACAATTACTTTATGGTTTCCGTGTTTGGATGGCCTGATCTTCGTGTTTGGATGGCCTGATCCAAACACTTGCATGGGAATGTTTCTCGAGTTAATATACAATTACTATACAATTACTTTATGGTTTCCGTGTTTGGATGGCCTGATCCATGTGTTTGGATAAGGCTATCCAAACATGGAAACCATAAAGTAATTGTATATTGTAAAAATGGCGGGAAAACAGCAGGCGAATTCCGATTCTCACAATTCGTTCCATTTGTTTAACTAACCCAAAAAATCCGAATCCTAAAAATCCAAATCTAGATTTACAAAATAAACGCTCTTTGAATGTCGCAACGCTGCAGGTTTGGTTCCTGCCGGAGGACCGTTCGGATCCGTATGGTTGTACGTTTTGGCAGCTGCATGCTTCTGGTAAAGTGTAAAAATAAAATATAATTTTTGTTTTAAATTTTTATCTACAAAAACCCTTAAGCCTTACCTACACGATTCTTATTCTAACGCCTAAAAATGTCTATACGATTCTAATATTAACGTCTAAAAAAATTCGACGTAAATACGCCAGAATGACAATCGCATAAGACTAATCGTATCGTGTAGAAAGGCCTTAAAATATTCTGTAACTAACTTATTTACCTGTGTAAGAAAGGACTTGAAGTATTCATCCAAGCCAAGTTGTGGATGCTTTGCAATGCGATGTAAGAAGAACTATAAATATTGAATATTTAGACTACATTGTAAGTAACAAAACACCATACCTCAAATGTGGGCAGGGGTGTATACAGTTACCAGAAGGATTACTTCATCGCACCTCCAAATTTGGGAAGGGCCTCTGTCCAGGAGCGGTCTGACGAAAAAGTTGATAACTGGATACTGCATGATCAGGAATAGTAAACACTTTGACGAGAGGCGACGCTAAGCTGCCAATTGTTTATTCATACTATTGCAATTTTTGAGGGGAAATTCTTACTAAGAGAAGGACATTCTTACTAAGAGAAAAACAAGAATTGTGCAGCTGGAAGAAAATTTCAAACATCTTCAAGGCCCATACAGACAGGGCGCGATTTGGCAACGCGACGCGAATTTTCAATTTTTCAATGACATTTAACTTCAATATTTTTCTATGTTTTTCAAATATTCAGAACCACTTAAGCAATTTTAGCTATTTAGTCTGCATATCTTGTAAAATTTTTATCTGTTGACGGTTTTATTTGTTTTCAAAAACTGAAAATCCGCGTCGCGTTGTCGAATTGCGTTCGGTCTGTATGCGCCTATTTTTTAATTCTATTTTAATATATAGAGCATTTTAATTCTATTTTTTCTTCCTCTCCCGTTTTATTCCACATTTAGGGTCATTTCTTCCCTCAAACCTCTCACTTTTTTATTCCCTCAAACCCCTCATATTATTGCCGTCTACCCGCGGGGGTGGGGGGGGGGGGGCAGACGATAATTACATGCACCCCTGTATGGGGGGGTTCAATGTACTGGTACTCCATACTCTAAACGAGTCATCCCAAGGTGCTTGTTCGCAGCTTGTTAACAATGTTTGCTATAAGGTTGTTGACTCGACAGACTTGTTATTATCCTACAATTAGACGTCAACCTGTTAATAAAATTAACAAGTCGTGAGTGGCAACCTTGTAGAAAATTGATAAAGTGACAACACGATCTGCAATTAATGAGGAAAAACTTACATTAAAACAGGATTAAGGAACATCGGCGAAGACATGGAGACATACGAGGTTCAAGAACTCGACAAGTTCACAATTAACTTACGAATAAATTGCCCTCTATGATTAACAAGAAATCGCACAGTTCCTCGTAAAATTAAGGTTTAATTTCACTTGTGTTTTCAAAGTTTCACAAATTGCCCTCATCGCTTCGCGAAATTAAACTTTAATTTTACTCGGCCCCATGCGATTACTTATACAAATTGAAGCTTATATTACGTAGAACATATCATATATATATAGGAAAGTGATAATTTTGTAATTAAAAGTGATATTTTTAGGGGATTTTTCAATTATAAAAATATTCTTAATAAAATTATCGTGTTACCATGACAACTACTTTAATACTTCATGTTCGGAAAGTATAATGGTTTGTCAAAGCGGACGTCAGATAGACGGGGGGGGGGCATTAAAAACTGTGTTTGTGTCAGTTTGTGCTAATCTTCAATACATATCACAAAACATATGATATTTAAAGTTTTTTGCTTTGTTATACAAGCGTTATGATTGAAAATGGCGCCAAAATTAGTTATACGAATTTTCGGGTGACGTCCGTGTCACAGAATAGGAAGTTATACCAGAAGCGTAACTCGAGCAAATATTTGTCCGCGTTTTTACAAGCGATTCGTCATCAATCACGCCATCCTGGCTAGTACAACCGGCACTTTGTACCTACCAAACCCTGATAAAAACTTCCGGCTGTGCTAGCCAGGATGGCGTGGCCTGACGTGAGCGAGTTAAAATTTTCGTGGACGTCAAACAATAAGGGAAAGGACTAGAGTTACGCTTCTGGTATAACTTCCTATTCTGTGTCCGTGTTGACAAAAACATCGCTTGCTTACACTCGTTTTCAAAATTACGCGACCAAGGACGAAAATGCTCGAGTTGACATGTCAGTTTTATGTCGTTCGGTCACGAAGTTTAAACTTTGAGTTTTGCGGTTCCCTTGTCGATGTATATGCTTTGTATGCTTTATATAAACAGCCTTACAATGATTTTCAAGATATTTTAGTGAGAATTATTGCAAAATTTAAGCACAAACAAAATCATAACATCACCGTTATAGTCTAGCGCGCGTGTTTTATACTGACAGCTAAATTCCGGGATAAATTGTTATTTTTCAAACTTTAAAAGTTATTCACGGCACATATTTCTGTTGTGATGGTTTGTATTGTGCTTTAGCTTGTATATCTAAGTTATCTCACTCATTTTCGTTCAGTTTTGGTATTAAATACGGTTTAAAATGCCTTTTGACAGTTTGTTTACGTTTGCTATTTTTAGCAGTTTTTGTGACATAAAACTGACATTTGAAGTAAGAGTATTTTTCAGGGAGGTCGCGTAATTTTGAAAACGGGTGTAAGCTCACTAATATTTAATCACTCACCTCAAGACCATTTCTCCTCCTTTCCACAAATTCCATATTATAGTTATCAGAATTCAGTCGAAATGCTGCTAAATTTGACTACAATAAAAAAATATAAGCTGTAATTAAATCTTGCACAGGGTGTATCAAAAAAGGTATTAACGAACTATATGGGCTAATACCACTCTCCTCCGCAGAGGATGTAAGTCATTGAGGTAACTGGTGAACGCGCTATATGCATGCCTAATAATTTGTGGGTATACAGCCAACGTGAATACATAATGATATTTATATGACATGTGGCTCATGTGCTGGGCTCATATAAACAGGCCCTGATAAAGCTGATAAACGTCCATTCTAAGTAACCAACATCATAGTAGTATAGTTATGTTTAAACTGAGCTATAATCAAACGTTCAAGTGATACATATGTACATTAGACAATGTAAGATATCTGCAGTATGGGTAATCGTATATGGTTGCGAATCCAGTTATGGTCGCGAGGGTACGTCTTTCCAAATTCGACGAGAAACCATACTGTTACTTATTAATGATATACATGAAAAAATTACAAGCGATTCAGCTCGATGCGCTCCTTGTATTGAAATTGTACAAAAAATCGTCAAAAAATAAAAATTTACATTCATTTGCTCAGCTGCGCCATTTTGATTTTTTCTGCCTCGTATCCAGGCCCTGCTCTTGTTTCATTAATTTGCACTGCAGATATTGCCTGCTCTTAGCCAGTCAGCACGGAATAATTTTTTCTTGTGTATTTTATTAGCGTCAAAATTCATCTATTTTTTTTCTAACCAATAAAAATGCCACACAGACATACCTTTTTCTCTGGCAGTGGAGGTATTATCAACTGTTAAAAAGAAAACTAAAACTAGTGAGTTGCTTACGTGCATGAAGTTATCTAAAAATGGGATAGATTATTCTGTCTTAAATAATAAAATAAAATAATAACGTAGAATAGGTTTTTTAAATGGGATTTCAGATTTGGGATTTCACGCTTGTAGTTATCATCTGCTATGTTCAAAAGCCAGTTATGCCAGCTTTTCAAGGAAAACTATTCGTGTGTACGGCCACTGACTATTCCGTGACATCACTGCGCACTCATCTTAAGGAACCCTCACATATCGATTTTGTTCATCAGAAACGTCATATGAACGTTTCTCTGGAGACCCCCCCCCCCCTCCCCTCCCCTTAGAAACGTTACACATAGTTATCGATACTTTGTTCTTATAGTACACATAAGATAACTTTCAACTATTGAATTTGACCGGTCTTCGAGACAATTGAATTTAAATTACTTTATAGGGAGTCTTATCAAAGCCGCACACGATCTGATGGTAGTCGTTCGACTATATGGTTTAGATGTATGGTAAATCTTCAAAAGCACTGGATGATGAGCTAACTAGTCCACAGGCTCAATTAATAACCATTTCCCCTTATAACGTTGATTAAATTCGTACGTCGACCAACTAAAGTCTGTCGTGTGTACCTGGCTTTAAAAATCAGACGACTGCTATAGATTCGCTTTTCAAGATGTCATTTTTAATAAACTGCAAACATATATGATTCCGAAATGTCTATAGGCTTTCGAAAAAAGTATGGAATTTTCCCATGGCCATAATGTTTTACAGTGAAACGTAACACACTCACAGCCCCCCCCCCTACGACCCCCCGTCCTTGGAGCGGTTATTTCCATCAAATCTCATTTATCTTGAAAATCAGATTTGTGTGGTATCGTAAGCAGTTTCAAAATAAGACATAATGTGCGCAAAGAGTGCGCTCACTATTACTGCACGGATATGCATATTACTTACACCTGGGTATGTTGTCTGCAAATAATTCCTGAGCATATCAAACTCACTGTATCTCCTCCATAAACATGATGATTGATTTTCTTCATCTGATGAAGAACTAAAACATCTAATTGATATGAAGAGAAAACAACAGGATATTAGTCACTGTCACAAACGTTTCCAATAACATTCTTTACCTCCGCCAGGACTGGCAGGAGGTTATGTTTTCATCCGCATTTGGGCAGCCTGCCATACACGAGAGAAGCTTGATGAGATAACCGCCTCGCGTGGCAGCTAGCTCAGCAAGTTTCTCTCATATGGTTTCTCTCGTGTGCGGATAGTTTTCGAGAGGATTTGACCTCTCGATGCCTAGAGGAAAATATCTATCGTGTCTGATATTTTTCACCTCGCGAGGAAAAATTGCAAAGTCTACGGATGTTGTGAGCTTAGTGCTGAGCTGCCTGAATAAATTAGGCAATGGGAAACCATAGTTTCTTCATGTCATTTTGAACAAAATGGAGGAAAATGCAAATGATTTTGTTGAGATTTTTCCCAACGTGTGCGGTGAAAATGCATATAGCTGAGCTCAGGGCCTCTTTTAACATATAGACTGGGGTCCCCCAAGCCCTGTCACTGACCCCTCAAGTCGGCAATTTTGTCCCCCCAGTGCAAGGTGCCTGAGAACCACCTGTAGTAGGTGGTCAACCAGCAATTATATATCAAATTGAGAAAATGGTGTTAAGTTGTTATAACATTTCTGAATTTGACCATCATCTGCAGACCCGTCACTAGTTGACTCGGTAGGAATTTGGGGACTGAAATTTAAATATCGCCAGAAACCTAAACCGTGGCTGAAATAATTTGCTCGTGGAAAAAGGCATGAAATGGCATTTTAGGACGAAATTCTAGTTTGTTTAGTTTTTGCAAGCAAAGGTACTCCAAAGAGACCACTCTATCTTGCTCTTCAGTGACACTGAGAAGAAGAATGTGTCGATGTCAAGTACCCCAATACATGTAATAAAGTACTGCAGAATTTGAAGTGTGGTGAATGGCCGTTTTTATACTAGAGACGCATTATGCGTCTGGACGAACTTGGGCAAGCATTTGTTGTTCGTCTGGTTATGCGTCCTTAGTATATAAAGACGGGCACAAGACGCATTATGCGTCTAGACGAACTATGTTCGATTCTTCGTCTTAAGAGACGCACAACCGATGATAGTTCGTCTAGACGCATAATGCGTCTTGTGCCGTCTTTATACTCGGAGGACGCATAACCAGACGAACAATGAATGTTGATAGTTCGTCGCATTGGCCGTTTTTATACTAGAGACGCATTATGCGTCTGGACGCATAATCCGTCTTCTACATTATTCGTCTAGTATTATTCGTCCCGTCTTTATACTAGACGAATAATGTAGAAGACGGATTATGCGTCCAGACGCATAATGCGTCTCTAGTATAAAAACGACCAATGGTAATACTATACCACGCACATTTTAATTACCGCTTCATCACATAATGTTGCCTTATTGGGACTGGATTACATTTGGGAGACTAAAATCGCAGTAATTATGTCACTGTTTATAAGGTTAATTTCTTGTTGGAACACTCCTCAAAATGCTGGAAATAGCTAATCTGAGATTCAGGAAATCCCATTTGTAGAACAAAAGCAGTATAATGCCTGATGAGTGATGGGCATTGAGCAAGGACAGATTGAATGAATTATGGTCAAATTTGGATGAAAATTAAATAAGAAACGATCAAAACTAAAAGTTTGTCTTGCTTTGCTGAACAAAGTAAAATGAGTATGTAAATAGCCAATTGTACAATTTGTGCATCATGAATCCATGAGGTATGCAATCTCAGGGGTATGCAATCCACACTATACCCTGGAACCAGAGGGTATTTATTTTCGCCTGTTTTGAATAACCCTCTGGTGAAATTGGCTGGGTTTTTGGGGTCACATTCCACACATAACTTTCAAAATTGGAACCTAGAAGTTGATTGGTTGCTGACTATAGGTTCGATAGATTACGTGTTCTGATTGGATATTGTAAACATCATAGCCTGTTCGCAGGCGTTTCGTGTTTTGATTGAATTGAAACATTTGAATTTTGAAATGTCTATATTATTAAATAAACGAACAAAAGTTGAAAGAAGCTGTTTTATAGGCTGCATTAATAGATAGATTGATAAATTTCCTGAATTAAAAGTTTAACGGAGCATCAATACCGCGCCTTGTCCAATTTGATTCACATTAAAGATCTATTTGCATCTTGCTATCGGTTATGGGAAGAGTTTAATATTCCAAAGTTCTAACACCGAGAGTAGCACGACGACTTGGCAAAAGCCACAATTTTCTGGAGAAACCCATCTTAATAGTCGTTTGCAAATTGAACTCTTTCATTGACTCTCACGTCCGTGAACTAAGAAAGCGTGGATGCCGTGTTACTTCACTGTCAAACGAAGAGGACGAGAAAGCAATACTAGATGGAGAGTTTGCATTCGCATTTTGTAATCCCGAGTCTATTATTCGAAATGCGAAATGGAGAGGAATAATTTCAATCGTTTCATTTGAAATCTACAAGACAAATTTGCTTGCTTTTGTATTAACAGACAAAGTTCACGTCGGCCCAAAGAGGTGTGTTTAATAAATTTATAAAATACAGTTTTTTTTAATGTATATTGCAGGATTAAATTGAATGTATATTGCAAGATTAAAGTGAATGAATATAAATATATATTTATATTAAATTGAATAGATGTGATGTTTTAAATTGAATGAAATTTAGGAGAATGAATATTGCTACAAATGGGCAGGCATTATGGCGCTTTTTCGGGTTCAAAATGCAATACTATAAATTTGTCGATATCTGTCTTTGGAAGAGTAGCTATTTGACGTGTATATATGAATTTGTCGAATAAAAGTTCCATAAATTCTTGAATTTGTCGAATTAAAATAAACAACTGTTCATGAATTCGTCGATTGTTTAAATTCTTCGATAATGCCTTGCGACCACTGAGCTATACTATAACTGTAATATTATAGCTCAGTGCTTGCGACCTTGGGGACTTGAGCCCGCAGATCTCGGATTTATTTTGACTAGAATTACATGAAGTGTTCCATAAACACGTGTTTCGTTTGTTCGCCGTTCTTGCATTATTCATTTATATACGTTTATTATTCTGAGAGACTGTGCAGAAAAACTTATTACAGCTGCTATAAATAGCATCGTTTCTGTTCCTGCTGGACAACAAATGTCTCTGGTGATAACAAATTTCGGTCTTCCCACAGAGCTAGCTCTGTTTTGTTCTAACACATTGGGAAGAGTTGTTCTGTTTTCTAAATTTAAATTTCGAAGCAGTGAAATAACTTCTGAAATAGCATGGAAGGTTGAGTTAAATCTGTTTCCCATTCGAGTCAAGTGACCACATATTTGTTCCAGGCGAATGATATATAAGGAAGTCTACAACTTCTTCGTCTGGACTGGACTGCAATCTTCTGGGCAGATCAAGAAGGGACTGCCTTAATCTAGATGCATACAAACTTTAATATTCATCATTCGCCTGCGCCATCTTGTCAGAATCTTGTGAAAATTCTATGTAAAATTAAATGACGTTTCATTTTCTTTATTAATACTTTGAGATCTGCGGGCTCAAGTCCCCAAGGTCGCAAGGCATTATCGAAGAATTTAAACAATCGACGAATTCATGAACAGTTGTTTATTTTAATTCGACAAATTCAAGAATTTATGGAACTTTTATTCGACAAATTCATATATACACGTCAAATAGCTACTCTTCCAAAGACAGATATCGACAAATTTAAAGTATTGCATTTTGAACCCGAAAAAGCGCCATACAGGCATACACTAGACAGTAAACATGCGATAAAACCCTGTCTAGACGGCCCCTGGCGTCAAGGATAATGATTGGATAATATTTTTAGAATATGATGCATTAAGCAATTATACATTTTTTGCATTCTTTATCCGAACCAGGTATCGCCAACAAATTCACCAGAGGTTTTTCCTTTTTCTTCGCGCGTTTTCTCGCATTTCGCGTAAAAACCTCTGGGCCAGGGTATCCACACTACATTTTACATCAAAGATGTATCATTTAAAATGATCAGTTCGAACATTGAATGTCTGTTGATTTCATTTAACTGAGAAACAAACAATATGGCCACACCCTAACATCGTGAAACGTCATGTAGGGTAATTAATTAATTATGCCTATGTAACTATGCTGAAGTCATCATTTTTTGATTCGATATCATAGTGTCTTCGCAGACGACAGACTTCGTTTGGACCAATCAGAATTCGGGAATTTTGATCCGCCTCGAGAGTATAAAAGCCAATTGTAAGTTTCGGATATAGTCACAGTATAGGGAGACAACCAGTAGGGCCACTTAGAGGAGAGAAAAGTGGGAATTATTTAAGCTAGGTCCCAGGTGCCTTACGCGGCCAAAATCATTACTCTGTAATACAATTTTATAGTGAACTGCTGCCGTTTACTGGCTGCCAATATGTAAATTCAGTTGGCAGCCAGTAAACAATGTGGACACTTTTTCACGCTAAGTGGCCCTACTGTAGTTTTCCTATACTGTGATATAGTCGCAGTGTGAAGGTATCTTTCTGCAGGTATATTTATATTGCTGTATGTTGCCAATTCTGGAAATTATATTGAGCCAGTCGGTTTGGCGGGGCAATTCTACCCTAACCCTAACTTTCATACTACCCCGTACCAGCGACGATTCTTAAATTTGGTACCCCATCTACAAGTGGGTTTCATTTAGCTCTTCATCTTCCCACTCAAAAAAAGTTAATTAAAGAGACCCCTGTCACAGGCTGGCGAAAACACGTACGATGTTTATCATCGCCCTATAACATTTATTGTCAAGGTGAGCACTTCGAGTGCGCTCTTTGGACTACATTAAAAGGAAAGATTGTTTTTTAAGACTATTCCTTGCGTGTCTGTATATACAAGCATGTGCAACGTGGAAAGTCTTCACAAGTTTTCCGACATTCAATTTGCTGATAACAACACATTTACACACATTATTTCGAATTATAGTCGTGTCCCTATATTTTGTTGTATTTGCTGCCTTTAGTTTTCTCATTAGACATTAATATATATTATATTCTGTATTTACATTTCTTATTTATACTTTGTTTTGATTAAATCCATCTATTCTGGGGCTGGTTGTATAAAAAAGTGATTAAATAAGAAGCACATATTAATCGCTATTTAACTACAAAATAGTGATTAAAAAAGTGATTAAGAGTTTTATAGAACCGGCCCCTGATGATTGTTTTTTTGTAGCATGATCGCTTTTATACTTCTTAGGGCCTGTTTATATGGAGGCCGGACTGGCCCGCTTAGCAAGACAGCCTGGTAAGCGGGATGCATTTCTCTTAACATCTTGTGTTTAAATTATATATGAGAAAATTTCATCCCGCTTGCCGGACAATTTTGTTGTTTTGACAGTTGTTAAAAATAGCTTGCGGCGGCATCTTTGAACTTTCAACCGGGCTAGCCTGCTTGTGAGTATTTATTGTATATGGAGAAATTTCCATCCCGATAAACAAGATCTCGCCTCTTTCAAGCGAGATCTTGGCAATCGGGCCAGCCCGATTGTCCATATAAACGGACAATAAATTTTACTATAAAAATAACTACACAGCGAGATCTCGCTTGCTGGCCTGGGCTGTCTTGCTTAGCAGGCGAGCCCAGCTTCCAGACAGGTACTAAGTATAAAAGGTACCAAGTATAATAGGTACTATTAAGTATAAAAGCTCGTGTAATTTTCCCGACCCCCAATTTTCCTTAATAATTTATATTTTTCAGGTATGGTTACATCCCTACCAATGAAAGCTTGTTTATAACATTGCAGGGGTATCTTTAGTTTTTATCTTGCAATGGAATACTGAGAATGATAATGGGGGCAACAGGGGATCATGAGGGATAGCTATATACTGCAGTGTGGACCAATAGAGTTTTCTTTGCTGTAGCACCTCTCAATCTGTTAAATTTGTCTGCTGAGGAGACTAGTTGCCTGCTGAAGAGGCTAGGCAAGGGCTGGAACATTAATTTAAGTTGCATTGCACATACTAAAACCTCAATCTCCTCAATAATGTCAAAAATCACTGTAGGGGACTGCAGCATCTCTCTATGACAATTTCCACCTTTTCTACAGTAGAGCATGTTAATTATATACAAAACATTATAGATTATATAGATACATCATACATGACTTAATTTTAATCCAGTGTGGAACACTAACACCCCCAGCCCCTGACATTCCTATATTTTTTTCTTGTATCCTGACTAAATTTTTCTCAGCATTTTTACTGACTTACACTGTAGTATTCGCTGTACATCAACGAAAACTGAATTGGTTGTCATTGTGAAATAAATAACGGAAATGAATAATGAAATTGTGTTGCACTTTGAATGATTGTGTGGTTTCTGCGAATCTCGGCTTCCTGAACCTGGGTTAATAGTGCTCGGTCCATTGTCTGGTCAGCAAAATTTCGCGAGTCCTATGTGAGAGTGATCCTAACCTGCAATCAGGCCTGATCCATGTGTGTAGTCCACGGACCAGGTACACAAAGCAAGTGTGGAATAAGGTATGTCAATGTCTGCTTTAGAAGGACAAAGGCAGAAACTGCAGAGTTAACTAAAGACCAATTGACCTTTCCCCTTATGAGTGAAATTCTGATCTAGACAAGCCTGGACAAAAATTTGCACACAAACACAGCTTGGAAGAGCATCACAAAATTAGTAATATTCCGAAGTTTCGTTGTGAAATGTTGTAAAATGCGGATAATAAAGCCTTGCGAAGTTTGCCGTTTTTCAGTCATTTTGCATTACAAACGGAAATTGATAATCAGATGGTCAAGCTGATTATCAATTTCCATTTGTAATACAAAATGACTGAAAAAAGGCAAACTTCGCAAGGCTATATTATCCGCATTTTACAACGTTTTGCAATTACGAAACTTCGGAATATTACTAATTTTGTGACTCTCTTTCAAGCTGTGATGAAATTTTTGTCCAGACTTGTCTAGATCAGAATTTCACTCAAAAGGGGAAAGGTCTATTTACACTTGCGATTTTTGCTGCGATTTCTACATGCAATTTTCTTCTGATGCATGTGAACGAGCAGATGAGTTATGAATGTTCCCAGTACATGTGTACCATCAACTGAACATTCATAACTCGTTCACATCAGAGTCACGTCAAATTGTGTCAGACCGACCCATGTTTTGGTCGGACATGATCGGACACTTAATTATTCTCAATAGGGACATTGTCAGTTGTCAGTACTAGAAACCAAAACCGTAACAACTACCAAAACCAGGGACGCCGGAACTGGGGGCAGGGGGGGGGGGCGACTGCCCCCCTTGCCTTTTGCTAGGGGGGGCAGAAGTGCCCTTTTAGTTGTAAAATACAATGTGATAAATCACATTTCCAACGATGCTTTTTGTAGGAAAATCATGACATTCAGGCAATTTATAGTTTATATTTGACTTTTGGTATGTCCGGTAAAAAATTTTGACCCCTAAAATGGTACACTGACCAAAATTTTCCGGTAGATTTTGAAGTTTTGCTCTAAAGAGGTGCCCTTGGTGTGCGTGCGCCCCCCTTTGCCTTCTTATTGTTTCGGCGTCCCTGACCAAAACCATATGCATATTCCTAATGGTTAACAAAATGACACAATATCAACGACAACTTACTCAGTAACAGTATATGTAATATAAAATATTTCTCTTAACACACACAAAATAAAAATGTGAACAGGCTACACTCTTATCACCCAAGCACCATTGTGTACTATGGACTAAAGCAGTATCCCAGTTTTAGGTAAGGTCTAAAGTACTGTAAGTTAGTGTCAATCTCTCCCAGAGTCTGTAGAGTGGAGAATAATGAACAGAAATGACCTATGTATACAATAGACGCTGTTGTTTTTTAATAATTGACAAGATTACATTGTTATTATGTGGATCGGCACGAAGTCAGATTCTGCCAAATTGTCTTACAGGCGGAATCTTGTTTGCATGACTGTGTTAAAGATTACAGATTTTGTTAAAAAGATTTGCAACAACAAAGGAAGAAATATTCAAATTGATGAGACAAAATGGTCGGCCATAATGTCCTTGCAGAGTAATCAGTAGACGGCCATATCAGCATTTTACTCGGCTAATGGCCGGTGGCCGACCATTATATTGAGCCCTGGTTCACATCCATCACAAGAGGAAAATTGCAAGTTTAAATGGGCCTTTATAAACATAGGATTAGCATTGATTTAATAATGCCATCCTCTAATGTTAACATTTTCAGGTAGCCACTGAGTATGTGCCATTACTCTCCACTAGATGAGTACCCCATATGGCATTAGATTGTAAAACAAACAAAGGCCAGGTGTGTTACGGTACAAATCGTACAATGCCATTTAATTGGATAAAAGGCAAAAAGACTCATTGCAGCAGTAAAATTGTCTGGTTACATAATGTACCGTATAAAATAACTAAAGTAATTGTATATCCTTGCTGACAAACCTAATGCAAATGAGTTACTGTAGGTGGCAGTTTTAATTAATTGGTAAACCGACAAATGTTGGTTTTTCTCAAAAGTTGCTTGTTCGGATCAGCCTGGTATTCTATAATTGCGGCCCTTTTATTAATCAAAACTGAACAGGTAAATTTTAACAGGTAAATTTTTGTAACCAGGCTCTTAGCTAGCTGAAATTGTATCTGTTGGGCCGCAGGTGGTGATTTATATACAGTAGCGTACTACCAGACCACGTATACGCCAATGCAACTCTCAGGCAATACACTGATGCACAGCTTTAACTAACAGAACATACATCTTGGCAGGCAAAACAGTTTTCGAAAGCATACAAGAGAGCTCCATATATGAGTGTATGCTATAAATATCAAAATTTGATTGCCGCAAAATGTAAACAAGGAAGACGTTGGACGTATTACTCATGATGTTTAAATTGGCATCAAAGTGATTCATGATTTCTAAAAGACAATCCGTTTTAAGCTTACATTCAAATAATGATCAGACCTTTTTAGCTAAGTCGAAAAGAATCCAAGCTGCAATATCATTATGGTGTGCATTACAGCTATGACTATGAACTAGATTTAATAATACAACAAAACAAATACACACAATCATTTAATCCCCACCTTGTCTCGATCATATAAACAATATACGGTTCTTTTAGCTTTTCCCCAGATCTTTTCTCGATGTCTTTGACCAAAATTTCCATCGTATTTAACAAGCAGCCATCGAAATAGCTGCCGTCTTCTCCCCCTGATGTCTCTGAAATGTCCGCCATTTTGCACAGGCTTCGAATGAAGCTTCAGGTTCTAATCAGGAGGGTTGCGTCGAGTTCTTTGGAATTGCAACAAAAACCGTGACACAGAATAGGAAGTTATACCAGAAGCGTAACTCTAGTCGTTTCCCTTATCCACGAAAATTTTAACTCGCTCACGTCAGGCCACGCCATCCTGGCTAGTACAGCCGGAAGTTTTTATCAGGTTTTGGTAGGTACAAAGTGCCGGTTGTACTAGCCAGGATGGCGTGATTGATGACGAATCGCTTGTAAAAACGCGGACAAATACTTGCTCGAGTTACGCTTCTGGTATAACTTCCTATTCTGTGACCGTGACATGTTGATTGAACAGTTTTTTTTAATAAGTAATGCAAATATGGGGTCATTCTTGAGCAAGGTTTTACATAGGCCTATTATATAAATGGACGCTGCAAATCAAAATCCTATTTTTTGTTTATTATAAATTTTTAATTCATATCTTTCCGAATATTGTTGACAGTGTTGTTACCATTCCAACCCCCCGGCTGAGATAGACCATTTTTTGTTGAAACACGATCTGACAGGATTTGTATATATCGAGCTCGCTGTGACTTTAGTGTTTGAAAAGGCAATGGCTGATAAAGCAAGCGGTGAAAAAGCAGGAGAAAAAAGTTTCTTTGCAAGAACAGCGAAGAACACGACGAAGAGAGCTAAACGAGCGCAAGAAAAGGTAATATAGGCCCTAGGGAGGTCTATATAAACTACATTTTAATGCGTTACGGTGGCGAAAGATCTCATATAAAGGTGTTGACATCGATCGAATGTTTACGTTTGTAAATATGTTGACTCTTGTAATTATTAGGTGAAACGAAAACTTGGAAAGTCAGACGAGACTAAAGATGAAATTTTTGACCGTTTTGTCGAGAACTTTAACAAACAACAGGTGTGTATATTGCAAGATGTTCGAGGGTGTACACTTTAATACAGGCTAGCTAGAGCCTGTCTGCACATAATTCATTTTTTACAGCAATTCAGCAACAATCCCTTGGTTGTTAAAAATCTAGGACAGGTTTTTAACATCTTGTTTATAGGAAGCTGTTCGTTCCATCGAAGAACAGTTTAAAGTTGTTGCAACATATTTCTGATACAACAGGTGTATATGGCTTTAACGTTTGCTGCAAACAAAGTTATCCAAGACTTAATTGTTGCAACAATTTGTTACAAGGCTAAAAAATGAACAGTTTCTAAAAAGATGTCAACTGCTTTGTCTCGATCAACCTATTGAGCAGCTTGGAACAAATTTAACATTCTGCACTGATACCAGACTGTAAAGTTTTATTCTGAGCAGGAAATACTTTTTATTTATTTATTTATTTATTTATTTAGCTTCGCCTATAATTACACAATCAAACAACACGTACACACAACCATTTCTGTCCAACCCGAAAACGAGCAAACTTCAGCGCCCCTGTCTATGTTTCAACATGATAGTAAAACAAAAACATACACCCTTGACCGCTAACCTAGGACGGTTTAATTTTACAATTATATTCATTTTAGAATAGCTTGATTTTTATGAGCCCAACATGACTTGGCATAGAGATAGACAAAACATATCGAAACGCAGCAAATACGCCCAGCCTCCACGTTTCAAGGTTGGACAAAAAGGTGACAACAACAAAAAGGCGGGGTCACCACAACAGCTTAAAACCAATTACTGTGGGCCCTTGGATACAGAAAACACACAACTAATATATAAATTGAAACTCATAATTGATAGTATACATGTACTAATAGCAACACGTTAATGGTTGCACAAGTTTTCGTGATGTGTTGCATTTTAAGCAGACTGTTCTCCACGTTCTGGCATCGTCTACATCATAGGATGTCTTGGCAGCGTTGTGGTAGTAGTCCAGCAACAATGTTCTAAATCGTACCAGTGAGAGATCTTTTTGCCTTAGATTTTCTGGCAGAGAGTTGTAAGTTCTTATTACTCTGATGAAGAAAGAGCGTTGGTATGTCAGCGTCTTGCATTTGCGAGGACGGAAGGAGAGCAGGTTGGTGTCAACCGAGGTTCTAGTGAGCCTTGATGGGATAATTGGCTGCGGAAGGATTTCGTTCGAGACAATTATAATGTTGTTTACAGCTTTAAAGAAAAACATAATGTCAAGGAACTCGTGCCAGTAGGTTATTGGTAGTAAGTCTAAGGAGATCAGTCTGTCTTTGTACGTTTCTCCGCACACGTATGGTAATTTCAAAATGAACTTTGTAGCTCGTCGTTGGATGCGTTCTGTCCTCGTAATTAAGTCGATCGATTGTGGTGACCAGACTTGAGTGGCGTAACCTAGCGCTGAGCGAACAATTGATAGGTACAGTGTGCGGCGTATCTTAACATTTGTAATTTCCGTTGCAGCCCTACGCAGGAAACCAAGCATTTTGTTTGCCTTCGCACAGCGATCGAGGGTATGGTAAGACCAGTTTAACGTGTCCGTAATCCATATACCTAAATCTTTCTCTTTTTCGGTGACCACCAGGGACTTGTTATTGATCTTATATTCGTATTTGATAGGATTCTTTTTCCTTGTTACACGCTGACATTTGCATTTGTCTTGGTTGAAGACAAGGCCAGAAGATGTTGACCAGTTCTCCAAACTACTCAGGTCACTTTGTAAGGAGATGGCATCGGAAGTAGAGTCAACTTTCTTAAATAGTTTCGTGTCATCGGCGAAGGAGGCGATCTTGGAGTGCT